TCCTTCCAGATTTTTCATTCAAATGCCATTAATTCACATTAAATTGTGTTCAGTGTTGATCTTCCTGGCTGTTCCTTGGCCTGTCATCTGGTTGCACACAGGAATCATCTGTCAGGCACTTTGCTGGTCTGTCTTCCGTTCCTCCTGAATGTGCCCAGAAGCTCCTTCTAAAAGTCATTTTTCTTGCTATGAAGGAGTTCTGTAGGTGAAGGCATCTCCATTTTCAATAATTCCAAACATCTGACAGGTAGTTGTGATAAATATGGATTACATGTCCAGATTCAGCAGCAGATGAAAGATGATCTAGTAGAAGCTAGCTAAAACTCTTTTTTTGGCTGCAAGTGCTCTTTGTCTACCCTGCAAATGTGCTAGGTAATTAGGCAAAGAAAACAAAGCTCTTCCCATCAGACTATTAGCACTTCTCTTCCTGCCTTTTTCCTCTTTCCACTTAGTTTTGCTTTTCTAAGGAGGAGGAAGGAAAAGTTGCCTCCTTCAGCGGGTCCTGCTATTGTTGTTATGCCTATAAACAAAAATGCGTATTGACAGTGCACTGTGGAGCTTAGTTTCTAAACATGCCATGGACAAGCTTACTTTATAATTGTTCCAAAAGGTATCTTCTAGAAAACAGATCTGCAGATCAGAGGGGCCAAGGTGTCCCATCTGTTTGGTCCACACCTCGCATCAGGGCTGGGAGTCAGGGTTGGCGGAGGTTGTGGGAGCACAACACTCTTTGGGGAACCCCTCACCAAAAGCTCGTCATTCCCCTTTTAGTGAGCTAATTCCATTCTTCTCCTGCCACCTAGGTTTAGTAGACATTTATGACACTTCTTGCATCACCAGGAGCAAACTTCAACATAAACCCAAGAGGTTTTAAACCTTCCAATCTGCTCCAGCTGGGCGCAGGGATATTTGGGATGCAAGCAGATTCCAACACGCCGAGTGTGGTGAAGGGAGCGCTGGCATCCTTGGAGATAGGGCGTACTGGAGAAATGTTCTCTCCAGGGATCGGAGCTGAGTGGGTGAGAAGTGCAGGTGCAATAACTCTAGAGAAGTTGTGCCCAGCTGAGCGCCTGGACAGCTGTTTTTTCTGCTGATGACAAAAAGAAAAACACCCTTCCATTTCAAAAAGGGAAGTTCTCCTTCTCAGAGGATGAATTACTTGGTTTGGTTTGGAGCTTTGCTTTCCTGGGTGCCAACTTGTAATGTAGGGAGCTGTTGGTGGGGAAAGAAAATCACATAAATCGGTGTTTGATAATGTTACTTAAACAAAAAAAAAGTGTAAGTCTAAAAAAATAAGTGGATAATTGTTCAGATGACAGGGATGATGTGATTAATAATATCAAGAACTGTTGATTTATGAAATTCATGTACATTAACTTCCAATTACGCAGCTGCCAGTGTGCACTGAAACACAGCCTCAGGTTGCCAGGTCACACTGGTGCTGTATTAATGACTTCTCTCCCACCAAAACTGTGGCAGATGACCACTTTTTTCTGGGAGGCAGTAACGGAATCATTCAGATGGCTATTTTAGCCTTTGTACTTGGCTCAAGATCAGTGCCTCGTTTAGTGCTGTATGGTAGATTTTCTTTCAAATTAAATTGTTGTAAGGACAAATGGGCTATTAAAACATAAACAAAACCCAAGAGTTTGAAAGGGAACCTGCTGATTAAAATGTGCTGAGGACTAATGAGCACAGGTAGAGCGAGTACATTCATATTCCTCTGCTCGACTGGAAGTGACTGAAGTGGAGGAAACAAAATAGCTGCAACATGTAAAACATTTCCAAGAAGATCTTCACTGAGAATAAAAAGGTATTGATGAAAAACTAACAGCAGTGGTGTCTCCTAAACGATCACTCCAGGACATTGTGTTCTCTCTCCTCCACTGTGTGTAGGTAAATGAATAATCCGTGACTGACATGAGAATGTCTGGGAAGGGGAGAATTGGGATCGCTTGAGTGAGATGAGGGGGAATTAGCCTCTGGGGAAGTGTCTCTGTCCCTGGAGAAAGTTGCTTTCTTTTCAGTTTCCTCTGTTACTTTACTGGAGAGGAGAGGCAACACTCTGCAGCATGTTAAATTTTAATAATACAGATTCACCTCTGGATAGCGCTGACTCAAAAAATAATGCAACTGTATTGAGCATGCCATTAACCCGCAGAGGTAGTCTTCTTTCAAAGACTAAGCATCGGTTTAAGGTATGCAGCCTACTCTTTTAAATTTGACTGGGTAAACCTTTTAGAATTGAAAAGTTATTGGTCCCTGTTAGCACACTTCAGGGATTCCCATGAATGGTCTGAGCTTACAGAGGTTGGAGAATGAACACACCTTGGCTGAGGCACAGTCGAGCACGTTTTGTGTTTTGTTGGATTGTAGGATATATTGCTTCGAGGCTGTAGCCATCTACATCAAATAACTACACTATTTGTGAAAATAACAGCAATAAATCTGGAGGAATATTAAAGTATCTATTTTAGACAGGAGGAAAATACGATGTTATTATCAAAAAATCACTGGTCTTTTGAAGTTAAAAAGTTTCATCATCATTATGTTTCTTACATCGTGATCTGCATCTTCAAACACAATTACAAAGCATTATTGTCATACTAAAGCCTAACAGCAACTGAATTTGATTGACTTAGTAATCAGGCTTTCTTCTTCCAAAATTGGAAGCCCTCTGTCTTCAAACATGGTTGAATCTCAGAATTTTAAGTGTGCTTCCATTACAACCACGTGTACTGAGCACAGATGCAAGCTTTCCCAAAACCGTTTCTGTTTTCATTACAAATGGTTTTTGACATAGGGAAATAAAAAGGAAACCAGGTGGAAGTATTAGTTCAGTTCCCAAATGGCAGGAGGAGTGTTTTGCCAGATCACTTCTTCAGTGTTATGAAACCTTAATCATATTCAAAATGTGAAAATGTAATTTCAAGACTAAGTCATTGGTATTCACTATATTTAGACATCTAGCAAGTGTACCATAAGCTCAAACTGGGGTATGACTGTGCTTGTGTAGTAGCTGGTGAGCTGTATTTATTCTCCCTTGTTTGTCTAGCTCCACGGATTATTACAAAGAGAGCATTAGTCTGAAGTACTGCACTGCATCTTTTTTGCTATCTGTTGCCCTTGGATCAGGGTCAGAGACAAGTCTCAGCACTTCTATGAGTACTGCAGTGGTTTCTGAGCCAGCTGCCTGATTGAGCCACAAGAAGTGGAGAGAGAGACAGAGTCGTCTTGTCTTTTCAGTCTTACTGTTGTCCTAAATATATGGGCTTTGTTCATCATGCAGTGAATCCCAAAAAATTTTATTCCACGAGAAGAGGCCTGTGGCAGTCTTTTGAAATGTGCCATAGCTGCTTACGTGAGCCTCAGAAATGTGGGTTAGCAGGCAGTCCTTCCAGCCATGTAAGCATGAGGTGGGGGAAAAAAATTCTTCCTTGGAAATTGGCTCTGAAATCTCCTCTTAAAAACTTGTGAGCATAGATCTTTGATTGCCAATCAAGGTGAGGGGCTCACTAAAACTCGGTAGGGGTATTAAGTCACATTAGTCCTCAGAGTACATTTCCAGCAATTTAAATTACCCGAACATTTCTTTTTATTACAGATGATTCTTGGTCTCTCTGTGTTTGTACTTCCGTGGGTTTCAATCATAATGTAATATGAATTGATTTCTGTCCCTGAGAGCTAATGACAGACCCAGTTTCTTTGAAATGCTCAAATTGGTTATACTGTGTATCTCATGCAAAGCCAGAGGACTTATTATCCAGGATAAAGCTAGCACCTAGATAGGGAGGTCAAAAACAAATCTCTTCGTTGGCTTCCTGGTGATTTAAAATCCACTGAAATGGTTTAGATATTTGAATAAGTGTACTAAATGATAAAAAGACCCTGTGTGATCCTACGCAGTGAATTTGATGTTCTCCAGCTGCAGGATGACTGCGAGCCAGACCTTGTTCCCCAGCGGAGGCTAAGCGGGTTGATGCAAATGTCTGTGCTTCCTCTGTTTACCCTCATCCCCATTCTGCTCAGCAGCCAGGGGGTCAGGATCTTAGTCCGAAATTGCTGGCTGACATATGGCTGTTACTGAAAAGCATTTATCTGCGCAGAGCAATTGAAAATACACGTCAGATTCTCTCTAGCAACTGTACTTTTTTTTTTTTCCCCCAAGATCAAGTGACATTGATTTTGTTCTGCATTACACTGTTGGACAACTTTGTGTGTGCTGCTGCTTGGCCTTGTCAATGGAAGTATTTTGGAAGCCACTTCCGTAGTGTTGTGTCTTTTCTTCTTCTCAGCCTGCTCTCGAGCAGAGCTGTCAGTACAGGCATCCCCCAGAGCTAGGCTGGCGTCCTTTTCCATCCTCCATATCCCCCTCGCCTTAATCGTGCTTCCTCTGTGCCTTTTCACTCTCAGCCCACCATGTTCTCTCTGAATCTGTTCCTGTCTCTACTGTTCGGCTGTCTTCAGGCTGTCGACTCTTCCAAACTAAGAAACCTGTAATATATTATGTAATCTGTATGCTCTGATTTAAGTAAAGTTACTCTGGCTTAAGATGGCACGGATGAGTGCGAGATGTGGTCTCTGGGGCTTAATGTGCGAATAAAGTCCAAATTAATCACTAAGAAACTCAAAGTATTAATCATGTTCTAAACGTACTTTCAAAGCAGCGGCACTCGCGGTGTGCTGTAGCAGAACACAGGGTGAATCCGTCTTGATTACTAGGTAGTAGGAAATGCATTGACACGTGTTGCCTGATGATTCACGCAGTCGTTTGGCAAGGTGTTAGTTGCAGAAGGGACAATGAACTTGGGCTTTCCCTAAGCTACTAATTGTTGTTAGTGTGTTAATAACATGCCACTTTTACGCTTGCCTTTAGTAGCTCTGCAAAGCAAGTTGTGCCAGTTTGCAGAACATGGATGGCTTGTGCTGATAGGGGTAGTAGCCAGAATTGTCACTGCCCCTCCAGTGTAACTGCATGTTCTTGTTTTTATTGTCTGCAGGTTTATTCCGATTTACAGGGGACCAAGTCATACGTACAAGATACAAAGGCTGACAGAATCCACCTGTTACTCGTTCAGAATACAGGCGGTCAATGATGCTGGGGAGGGACCTTTCTCAGAAATATGTACCTTCTGCACAACTAAGTCAGTCCCACCTGCAATCAAAGGTATGTCATAGATATATTTTTTTTTTACATATAAATAATTAACATGTTACTGAAGTAAGTAGTTGGTAAGTATGCAGTGAGTTTGTAAAGGTTGATGTAAGCATGCAATAACACGTGAAAAATCAGCTTGTGCTGTTTGTATATTTCTGTGAATTTTGACATTTCATTATGATGGGAAGCTAAATAATCACTAAAAAGTTTATATAAACAATAGAAACGTTTATATGGAAGTATGCAGCACAACCAGCCACTGTTATTATACACAGGCTGTTAAAATGCTGTTACTAAGTGTTTGCCAGGGGATTACTCTGGATTATCGCAACACTTCTCTAAGGGATGTAACAGCTGTAGTATGTATGTGTACACACCAATTTAAGCTCTAGTAGAGTTTAATATTGTTTTTAGTTGGGTAGGTTATGTTCAGTGTAGAACTTCAGTTTGTTCTTCCTTTAATGTATAAAATTAATTATGGGATTTCACTTACAGAAAGCATTAGATTTAGAACTCACTTAGCATGTGTTCTCTCTGAAGAATAAAAGGCCTAATTAAATGAAGTTTTATAATGAAACACTTTTTACGGTGTGTAAATTTTGGCCTAAGTAATTTGGGTCCTTCCTTCCAAGGAGAACTATTACGAAGGCAGCGATTTGCTATGTCGGCTGTCAGATAAACTGAGCTGAAATCAGATGCACCCTTTTTTTTCCTGCATGCTTAGAACATCTTTGTCGAGCGGTACCATTTACTGTGAGAAACAGCAACTATTAGTTTGTGTGAGAGGTTTCATTTCCTCTGCCTTATTTTAAATCTGGCTTTGGTGATTGCGACACCGTTCGTCATCAAAGATTTAGAGAGAGGAGAGCGCTGCTGGGGTGTCATTTCTCTGGTCCTGGAGCACGCTGACAGACCGGCTTCACTGCGCTAAAACCACCGTATGTGAGAATCCCACCTTCATTTCTGCCTGGATATCCCCTGGGTCTTAGCATTTGCTTCAGCGCTGTATCTGGAAGACGATATCTGCATGTGTTTGTGTGAATTTCAGTGGTAAATGTACTTACCCAGCGGTGAATTACCCTGATTGACTACACAGGGGCAGGATATGCTGCCCAGCAAAGCGACGGGATCTCATGCCAGATGAACCAGGCTGGCGTAGGTGAGGGTAGCAGGGAGGGTGTGCTTCACAGCTTCAGCATCTGCAGCCCGTCGGAGTGCCGGGGCACAGGAACGCATCACTCGTGAACGCTGAGTCCGTGTTGCCGTTGCTTCTCTTAGCTGCACTGAGTGGATAAAACTAGCACAGGGATGCCCATGTGCACTGTAGCCACACGTTCATTTTGTTGGATAGAAATCCATGTTACTAAATTCAGATCTCACCTAGGTTTTTGTTTTGAACTCCTTGCCTGCCTATTCAGTTCATGTGAATCGTGCCCTGGACTGAATATCAAGCAGTTAAGGAATGGTGCAAATACCGGGTCGTGTGTGGGCTGGGACCACAGGTAGGTGACAGAACCCTGGCTGTAACAGAGAAAAGGGCACAACAGAAACGGCGTCAGTGAACGCTGCCATGGGGAGGTAACACGGCAGGGGAAAGAGGTCTGCTGAGGCACAACGATGCTGTGGGTTCCCTTCTGTGTTTGGCGCAATACAAAGGAATGTATGTTGTAGATGAAAAACTGTACTAAGTTTATCAGAGGCACGTGTTTATTGTCCTATGAAGTGTCCTATTTACTCACTTCAGGAGGCCAACCCCAGCATTAAATAGCATTAATGTTAATGGCGGTGTTTTCTAAGTGTCAGACAAAAATCTGTGTGTATGGGGATGGAAGGAGGAAGGAAAATAACTGAGAATGTTGTTGTCAGTTGAGATGGAGGTGTCTATTACCAGTCTCTCCACACTGGCAGATGTGCAGAGAGAAGCCAACAGCTATTGATTACATTTGGGTCCCCGTATGATTCATACGTTCCTCTTGGGTGGTAACGAATTAGTCTAAAATTCATGTAATGCATGCAGCAGCGTTTGTTTCTTTGATAGACTCTCCCGTTGCCTGTTTTCCTGGGGTTGGGAATCTAGAGTGCCGTTAACAAGCTCATGTCCTTGCACGTGCACATGTGAACCACTTGGTAAAGTGTTCAGCACCCTTGTTTCTCCCAGTTTCATTTTTCGGTCATGTGCGTGCTTGCTCTGCCTGACCGGGAGGTTGGTGGACCCTGGGTGCTGTTGCAGTCGATGCCTTCCAGCAGCAGATGCTTGTTGTACATGTAAGCACGCTGCCGCTGTTAGTACTCTGCTCGCCCGCAAGCTTGCCATCGGGCACAGCGCAGCATCTTCTGGCTTTCGGCTGGTGAAAGATCCTCTCCCAGCGACGTCAGCATTGTAACAGCCGTCGAACTGGGTTTCTCTAGGGCTCTAGTGAAAGCACTAGTCTAAGCCTGGCTAGAAAACAGCAGGTCTGATGATCTGAATGTCATGCTCAGAATTAGATACAAGTCTTTAAAATTATGCTTGTACTTCTGCTTCCCAGCCTGGACATAACCTCTGATACAGAAGATTATATAGCTTCCCTTCTCACATTCCCTCTCCTATTCTTTCCAGAATGCAAAGTTTGACATTATTCCTCTCTTTCAATGCCGTGTAGCATGGGAGGAATGCACAGGCGTCTCCGTTGGCACACTTGTTTGCTCAGGAGTTCACAAAATTGCTGCTTTTATTAACAGCAGTGTAATTCATGCCTTGGCTTCCGCTTTGAAAAGATCAGTGCACGGTGTTTCAATTGAATTTTAAAAGTTGAGTTTTCTATCGCCTCCACTCGCCCTTTCTAGCTACTCACGCAGCTGACAGATGAGAGGTGCTCAAACAGATCACTGAACAGAAGTGATCTGTGTCCTACAGAAAACTTCTTAGGAGCTTGTTAATCAGCTCTACATTTCACCCAATTTTCTGTGGACAGTATTTATTATTGTTTAATACCACAAGAATCCTGAACTGCCTTATCAGGTAAGACTGTCCTGAAATAATTGAGACTTTTGAGTGACTGAAGTGTTACTTCTTTCATCCAATGGTGATGGCAATTTGGTTTTTCGGGCACATAAATACAGTACAGATTATGTGCTGCTAACCCCTGCGATGTCCCAGAGTTCTCTTTTTAAAAGGTTCTCCTCTATATTACAGGGCACGTAAAATGAGTAAGATTTCAATGCAGTCTTTACGCATTTCTTTTTCTTGTAGCCCCTCGAGTGACACAGCTGGGAGGGAACGCCTGTGAAATTACCTGGGAAATGGTCCCACCCATGAGGGGAGATCCTGTTGGTTATGTTCTGCAGGTACTGGTTGGAAGAGAATCGGAATACAAGCAGGTAAGAAAATGGTGTCTTTTTAATATTGCTGAATTGATGACATAATGGGAACGTTTTGGAACATTCACCGGCCTGCTTCTTTCTACTGTATTGAATTACACCTTATGGTGATGTGTCAGGTGAACTTTGCTAAAGGCTGAGTCAAAATTAAGGGCTTTAACAGGTTGTTTTCTCCCCCGAGGGAGCATATAGAACATCGTTATCTTATTGGAGGGATTTGTGCTCCGTCCATCGTTAATCATGATTTCTAACCGAACTAACCTTTGAAAAGTTACAATTCTGGCCGCCCATGCTTTCTTCTGAACTGGTGCATGCTAACTGTTGTCTGAAGATGAAGTAGGGCTTATCTTTCTCGTTCACTTAGCCAATTCCAAGACTCTCTGTCAAGGATTTCAGTCAAATACACTACTCTCTAATCGTTTTGTTCAGCCATCCCATTCCTGTCTAAGGTTTTGATGCATGGATGTGTAACTCCTGATATCAGCTGCTCCACAGAAACCTGTGTCCATTTCTTGCACTGTGGAAACCAAGTGAAGGAACTATGGCCGATCCTTCTTTCCTTGTCTGTCTTGATCAGAGATCACAAGTGGACATTTCCCCAGAGCACCTGAAATGGAACAACATTCACAGCTGGATCCTTTATTTCATCTATCACACCTCTGTGATTTACAGGGCCCTTCATCTGTGCCCTGTCTTCTCCCTGTCCTTTCTTTCATTGTCATATAGATTCCAAATAAGTCCAAATTAGGGAATGAGATGTGTTAAACCTTAAATTAAACTCTTAAAAATATGAATAAGGTAGTATTTTCTTTGCCATTATGCCTTTGCTCTTTTCCAGTCTGTTTTTGAGTGTTACTGTGAATTAATGAATTACCAAAAATAACATTAAGAACTGCAAGACAATTCAGATGGGTCCTAAAGATTCAGAAACCTAACTATTGTTTTTGTTGGGAAACATTTTTGATGCTGGGATGGGTAATAAAACCTCTGTGTACTGTGTCAGCTTCATCATGTCAGTGGTAAGTGGATAAGTGGACCCATTTTGCTGTTGCCTGATTAACAAAGTAGCCTTGGTGTACAACCTCCACGTGCAGCTTTAGTAAGCATAGCTTCAGTGCTTAAAATGTTCTGGATGGCCTTGGGGAGAATTGGGCACGGCTTCGTGTTCCTCTAAGGAAGGTGATGGCTTTAAGTTTCACAGTTGAGAAATTGTGGTGTGAAATAAACAGGCAATAAAGGAAATAAAAAGTACCTTCAGGGTCTTACGTTGAAGACCTTCATTTCTCATGAAGCATGACCCTGGTGATGAGTGGTTTGCTTGAGTTTCCCCAAGTAACTCACAAGAAGCAGCTCCCAGCTGGGATGCTGAAGCTGACACTGAGACTTCTGCAGTTGGGCTGGCTGATAACCAGCCATGGAAAAGAGGGAGAGTTCCATTGTTTCACCTTCTCCCAAATCAGTTTCACCCGTCAAAACGATTTATCTTCATCACAAATGCGAGTGTTGTCTCAGCATGGGGGCACATCACTGACTTGGTGTCCATTAGCTGAGCTGCAGTAGCTACGTGCGCGCTCTTAGCTCCCATTATGTGAATAGGAGATAAAATACATAAAGTCTTTCTGTGATTTTTCTGGCTAATGCGTTTCACTTTACCTTTGCTGTGGCATTCGTGTGATCACTTGCTACTATTTAGCTGAAAAGTAATGCTAGTGATAACGTTAATTACGTTAGAAGTAAATGTACTTCTGAACCTGTTTTGTTCCCTGCAAGTGACATATATATTTTGTGTATGTATCTCAAGGGGCATATTGTATTAGAACCTGCAAATTGTTTTGAAGGGTTGCACAAATGAAAAACACTGTCAGTTTTCAGGCTATTAAATACACCCATGAGAAAGAACAGTCTTAAGTGACTGGAGTTTCTGTAGCGGCTGGCAGTGCATTTTGCAAGATCCAAGGTTAGAATAGCTGGATGAAAAGGAGATAAATAGCTGCATGAAGTAATTTTTTATGTCCTGCTCCATGGCAATCCAACAAAGAGCTCTTTCAAGGTGTTTATGGGCTGTGCAGGACTTCATATCACATGGAGGGTTGCTCATCCTCTGACGCCTTCCCCTTCACTCACTCTCCAGGACACAGTTCTCTCTGTTCTGTGACATAGAATATCTCAAGTAGGAAGGGACCCATAAACCCAAGCACAGATTAGGTTCATAGAATAAAAATGCACTTTTTAAATCACCTTAAAATCGAAACTTTTCAACTGAGGAACATATAAAACTCTTACAAGGCTGTAATCCTGTGAATAGTCAGATTGATTTATTTGCAGCAATTTAAAGGCTACTATTTAAGGCAAGGCATTAAAAAGTTCTAACTGGGAAGACACGTTACAAACCCATGGAGCCATGTCTCTCTGTCTACTCCCAGTTGATTTACTTCAGACAAATACAGCTGATAGGTGACCAAACCCAGTTTCCTCATTTTATCTTCAAGCCTTAATTCTTGCTTTCAGTGTTTAAATGAGTGAAAGCTTATGAGTGTGAGTTCATGTGCAGGTGTATCCTGGAGCAGAACAAACCAATTAAAGGGTAAAGCATTTACTAAGCATTGCTGTCTGTCAAAGTGACTATGCATGGCACAAGTCAGGATGAGGATGCATATCCATCTATTTTTTGTGTAGGGGATGGGAGAGTGTTTGATATGTCTGTTTCTCCCCCAGGAAATTATACAAAGATAATGTTACTCTGACAAACTTATTAAGAAGATGAAAATATGACTCTTGTGCTACTGGCTTAGCATTCATACTCTGTTATGTCTTTTAAACTGGTGTGGTGGTGTTTTATTGACAAGAATGTTGGATGCTTAAGACAGTAGATTTTAGTCTTTTCATCCAAATGAAAGCCTGGAAAAGGAAGAGCCTATCATCATCAAAACAGAGTTAGAATTTTTAACGAAGATTGCATTTGAGTTTTCAAAACGTGGCTGTATGCTGTGACTTTTTGGGGAACTGTTGTGCACATGGAGTGGCACGGTGTTGTGCACAGAGACTCCCTAGACTCAGTAAGAAAGCTCGCAGAAATCCGTGCTCAGACAGCACAAATGTGACACTCATTCCTGTTTCTGGGAAAACTTTATATCCCAGACCTTGATCCAGCTCTTTGCTCGGAAGCCCTGCAGAAGGTGCAGAATACACTGTTTTTCTGTATTAATTTCATTAACAGAAGAAAAATCCACCCGGGCACTGGGTGCTGACTGAGCATGAAGTAGTCTGCTGCAGGTAGCTCTGGCACAGTCGGGTGCGCACTGAAGTAGGCGGCCCTGTTTCGCTTCCCTTGTTCACACAGCGTAGCTCTGTAGTACACAGCACTCATTTTTCTGGAGCTGCCTGTGGTCCAGGATAAAGTAGGACATGGTAACACCACGTGTGTCTAGTGCGTTTGGTATCTGACGTGAATAAATGTAGAATACTTATTATGAAATAAAACATCACTAGGAGAAAGCCAAGTCTTACTGACATCTGTTAATTCTGAAAGTTTGAGCTCCTCATTAGTCTCTTGGTGTGTGCTATGCTAGAGATGGAGCTCGAGAGACAGAAGGACACCTAGGAGCAGACCAGTGCTCTGTAGTTGCACCTCGTTTATGTTGTAGAAACAAATTCAAGTTACAGAAAGTAATCTTCTTCATTAACCTATATAGTTAAGTTAAATCAGCATTTCCTTCCCCTGCTGCAACATTAGCCTCTGACATACTTTTGGGTGAAGCTCCAGTTTATCTGTAGATGATCACACTGGAGTTGCCTCCCTCGCCCTGTACCACGATGTATGCAGCCCTCTGTGTCCCAAAAGCCACTGCTTTTCCCCCATTTCACCTAGCAGAGGTGGTATCAAAGGACTCAGAAGCCCTTGTTTTCAGACAGGGGCT